GCTCCTTTGGCTGCCCATTATGCTGCACGCCAACTTTTGTGGTAAAAAACGTGCTGAAATTTTGATTRCTAACGGAAATAAATATTTATTATTAATTCGAAAATACATACATAATTCTTATTTACCTTAGCCCTCTTTCTGATTTGGGGAATTGTATTAAAACATTTAGGTATTATAGTACAATGTTCCTACATCCAACTTATTGGTTCTGAAAACGTGTTCAATTCTCTTATCATATTTCATTGGCGCTGATGCCTATCGATCGTATTACTCATAAATGTGAAAATTTTCATAATTGATGTCTCAAAGATAGACTAGTGCAAAAACCTTTGCAAAAGATAGAAAAGAAAGAAGTTGCTACTATCAAGTGGAATCCCATCGGAAACGAAAGAAAAAATGATAAATGTTAATGTGTAAAATTCGTTTCACACCATACCATATAGTTAACTATCATTCTTAATATTTAAGATCTTAAGAAATGATATATAGGAGAGTGTGAACGTTTCGGGTACGGGATTAACACACAGTGAGCAAAGGTTCCATTCTGAGATCTTAAACATTTTCTAATGACAGCCATTGGCTTGACCTATAGGTACATTGAAGTGATCATTCACATATGCGAGCACAATTTATTCAATCATTAAATAAAAAGTGAAAAGGTTGCCACTTGAGGCATCATGAGAATTATTAAGAGAAATTTCCAGAAATCCGGCTTCGCAATTCACAGGTTATATTAGGTTAGGTAAATAGGTTCATTAATCGGGAGGCCACAAATAATCCCACTGGGAACACTTGTGATGCGCAGGCACWTCTAGGTATTTAACAAACACACCACAAATTTATTGAGGCAGCTAATATTTATACCAGCCATTTGGCGGGTTCTTAAAAAGTACGGCAACCGAGGTGCTTCAACCTTTGTCTCGCGAAGGATTTACAGAAAGACACGGAGCTAATCCAGCCGAATACAATAGTTCAAATTTGGYGAAAAAATTACGCAGAATCAGTGCTGTAGGCGACGGCTCATTATCGTAGGTTTTCAGCCCATAATCCCGGCCAAAAACAACGCATAACTCTCAAATAGTATTCCTTGTTGACAGTTTGGGCGATCGGAAGGAATTCAGTGTGCATCAGACCTCAAACGTAACCTTGCTTTTTGATTTGCTTTGACGTGGTTTTTTCGGTCTTCGTCAGGATATTCCGACGATTGATCGTCTATTTCCGGGTCTTAAACAKAGATTCAAGACTCATCGAACGCGACGCTGGTTTTCGAAAAAACTTAGTGATTTTGGTATCAATCATGCTTTCACTTTTCTTTGGACCAAATTATTGTTCAAAATGTTTTTCACTGATCCTTTCGATATTTCAAGCAAGGCAATAAGATCTCTGACCGTTAATCGTAATTCCCAAGCACCAATTCCTTTATTTTATTGACGTGCTGATCAGTCGTCAACGCGTTCTCGAYCCTCTTTGAATAATTTATACCAATCAAAAATAATTGCTCGTGATAAAAAATTATCACCGAATGCATTTCCAACATTCAGAACGTTTCTGCACCAGGAATTTGACTTTTACTTCGACCAAATTCATTTTAAAAAGTTCTTATATATATATCTTATATATTTATCTTAAATTCTGTGTTTATTAAAGCGCTAAATTATTTTCCTTGAGAAGGATATAACGATTTTTAGTTCAAAGAGTCGAATATCTTCCGAATATCAATAAAGAACACATAAAATCTYAGAGTTTCAAATCAAATGCATTTATTACGAATCCCGGACGAGAGCAGAACAGCCTTGTCGAATCAATATCAATGTCATAAGTATATAAAATTTTACAACAGGACTGGAGCGGCAGCGGTGTATTTCAATGGAGCGACAGGCGCAACTGGCGCAACTGCGGCGGAGTACACGGCAGGCACTACAGCGGCGCCGTAGTTCTGTCTCACATCGATTGAGCTGCTAGCATAGGCCGCATCCAAGTGGGCGTTGGCATAGGCGATGGGAGCCGCGGCGTAAGCGGCTGGCACTGAGGCAACGACCGGTGCGGCGGCTAACGGCGCGGCGACCGAAGCGAGAAACTGTGGCTTGGCGGCGGCGCAGGCGATGAAGGCGCACAGTACAATGATCTGCAAGGAACCAAATTCAATTTCTAGTAAGCTGTTTCATTACAGGAAATATTTTCTACTTACGAATTTGACCATTTTGAACGTTTTGAGAATACTGCAAATTGAGATTGTGTTTTCCCCGTCGACTGGAAGCGCTTWTATACCCAGCCGAATTCGGTGGGAGTTGCATAATTCAGTTCCGTACTTTGCCATAGAAACGTGCGTTGAATTCCATGCCGAATAAAATTTCGTATTTAGGTGTATATGTGCTCGGATACTTGAATATGGGGCACTGAGGAGAATGCAAGAGAATATAAAAATGTAAATATTTGAACAAAAAGACAAAAACAAAAAAAAACATATACAATAATTTGCTTAGAGTTGCTTTGCATAGTTTTTGATAGTTTCTGCTATGACTGCTTTACAAAAGTCCAAGTTGCATCATACGAGGGCGGGCGATTAGAAAAATTTTTGAAGTTGTTAAATGTTTTTTGTTGTGGTTGCGATGAGTATTTGTATAGCCGTTGTTGGTCCATGAGCAAACTGGACAGTGTGATTCAAAAGGATTTTTACAAATTCATAAAAATTACATATTTCTCAAAATTTTTCTTCGCAGTCTGCCGTCATTCCTTCAACAATTTAAAAGAAATTTTTGTATCAAAATGAAAGACATTTATAATGAAGAAAGCATACTGGTTTGCATTGCTTTAGAAGTCTTCAGGACTGTTAATCGACTTATTAAATATCCGCACCTCGTATAAATAGGACATGCAAAACCAACAAATCCGACGAAACAACTACAAGATAAACTCGAGCGCTTTTACGAGCTATTTATGTAAATACTTYGAAATTCATTTGCTCAGTGGAATTCAAAGGATTTTAGAGAATTTCATTGCTTTTAAAATAATAATAAAACCAATCTCACATGCATACATTCAATAAACTGCCAAAGTTTTTATTTAAAGAAAACAATTATTTGCATTTAAATTTTTTCTAATACAAATCRCCTTCAAAATAGAGGGTACTTCTTTYAAAGTCTTTTTCTAGCAGATCACTCTTGAGTCAAGTCAAGCTTTCTTAGTTGTGTTCAGTACTATTGATATTTTTGTTCTCTCAACTTACGATGAACACAATATCCCTTCTGAGCATACTACTCGCAACACCCATCTTGAGACCCGGCATTCAGTACCGAATAATATTCGACCGAATAGACCACATTCATCACATTCTTCACTGAAGAAAATATAGCTGACAGTGTATACGAAGAGCGTGGAGACTCGATTTGGCATCGTTCGCAGCAACTTGGACTGACGTATGGAATAACTTGACGCATTTTACTTCGAGATCTTAAATTGAAAGCGTGCAAAATGCAGCTTGTGTATGAACTGAAGCCGCTCGAAAGTCACCGTCCCAAGCGATATCGCTTTGCTATATGGATTTTTGAAAAGTTCCAAGATGATTCAATGTTTTCGAGCCAAATTTTGTTTAGCGATGAGCCCCATTTCTGGCTGAATGTGTATGTAAACAAGCAAAATTGCCATATTTGTGACGAAGAACACTATGAAGGGATTCMAGAGCTGCTATTTCACCGAGAAAAAAAAAAAAGGTTTTGTGTGGTTTATGGGCCAGTGGAATCATTGGTCCATACTTCTTCAAAAACGATGCCGGTTAGAACGTACTTGTCAATGATCACCAAGATCGTGCGATATCACTGCCTTCTCTCTGTGGGGCTATGTAAAGTCTAAAGTCTATGCCGACCATTCCGCTTCGATTCTGTTCCTGGGACAAGGCATTTCGCGTGTCATTTGCGAGTTGCCAGTAGAAATGTGAGTCATCGAAAATTGGATTTTGGAGTGGCATTCCTTAGATTGTTGGAGGATTTCAACATTTCATTGTCATAAAGCCATGTAACATCTCTAGTTTTTAAAGTACAAGTATTATGACTTCTGTCTTAGCATATTCTACGAACAAGTACTGTTACTTGATTGGCACTGGAAGTACGTTCGGGTATGCCAGTAGTAATTTTAGAATACTTGAACAATCTGCGAAATTTTGTTGAATAGCCGTAAAATTAAGTRGAGAAAGTTAGTCAAAATCAATGATATGCAGGTCTTATCATTCACGAATTTTTACAAAAGGAAAATCGTTGCGCCTAGCGGCTCTCACATTTTTGCACCTAGATGTACTATTCAAATGTGCTTGATTTTATAGGGATACTTTAGCATAGCTCAAAAGCAACGTATGACGTTCCGAGAGCCCTCTGGAATAAAAAAGCCGGATTGCTGAAGTTTTGCGATTTTCATGGAATTGTTTTCATCGTCTACACCGAACATGGTAAAGCAAGTAATAAATAATACCACATGCTATTGGACCGATCGGACATCGTAATCAAAGTCAGGCCAAATTGTTGGGCCAAAGCTTCTGAGTTCATRTAGAAACGGTAAATGATAGATAATGACAGGACATGATTTTTGTAAACAATAATATGCACAGTTCTACTCCGCTGCAAAATATTTAAGCAGCCTTTAGCGCTGCATTATTGTCAGCTGCATGTGCTTGCACTTCAAGAAAATTTCATCTTCTGCAGCGAAGCATAAACTTTTTGYTATGCAAAATTCATTGATACACAAACAAAAACGAAGGCTGACGGTAATGTGTAGCGAAAAGTAATGCAATGAGTCTGCGAAACTCACACACGTACAGKACGCGMCATATGTGTGTGTRTGCGTGTGTGTGTGAAAAGCATAAGACATTACAAACAATAAGAGAACAGCTCGACATCGATTATGTTGTTAGAACAGATGACAAAAGTTGCGCATTTCTCGGCAGCGCGTTCCCCACACCACACTTACACACACACGCTCACCCACTCACATTCACACACACACGCACACCTTCAAGCACACTTCTGTTTCTGTAGCTTGTAGAGCTGTAGCCAGGAGAGCAACTTTTGCCGTTTCTTTATTTTCGTTGGCTTGTGCTCACACACACACAACACACTGAAATAACGGTTATAGTACGCGCACACAGCCACAACACGGCAACCAARTGCGGCTCTATGTTCGCATGTGTGTATGTGGGTGTCGGAATCAAGGCGAAAAGTAGGTGAAGAACAGCACTAAAGTTGCAGCACAGCTGCTACTAATACTTACTGTGGGAAAATATTGAAAATGACGAAGAGAACAATTGAGAGAGTGCCATATAGACTGGACCGGACCGAATCGAGAGCGCGGGCAGGCGGCGGAAAACAATGATGAAAACTTTTTATATTAATATCAGAAGAATTTACTCTGTAAAATAGATGTTGTCGTGGCAGTCATGGTTGTTGTTATTGCTMCTGTTGTTGCTTATGCCACCAGCTGTTTTATGCTCTGCACAATTTCAAGTTGCAAATGTAATTACGCTAAGTGCAGGACTTCATATCTCACGCTCCCGACAACACGCCTCATTTGAGTTTCGAATGAGATTTCGCAATTATTCACACACACACACACATACGTACGTACAAGCAAAAGAAAAGTCCGCAATCAGCGGACCTGTGGCGTTTCAAAAGCGATCGGAAAAAAGATTTTGTTGCCAACTTAGTTTCTCTCATTTCATTCAGTTAAAAAGTATTAGTATTAAGATAACAATATTGTCYGACAGTTGTTATGATCTGTGCGACAAGTTTTCTGCTTAAATTAAGTTCGCCGGTGTTAAATTATTTTAATGAGGTCTGCGTTTTTTTTTTCGAATGAAACTCACTTTTAATTTTTTTGTGTGCTTGAGGGGGTTTCAAGGCAAATTAAATAAGAAATAGTTAGTTTCGAAATCAACTCAAGGCTTTCAATACAAAAATAGGTTAGGTACTATATGTATATAATCCTTTGTGAGGCCATAGAAATGCAGAACTCCTGTGCTTGAACTGTTAAATTAGCAAAATGTCCCGCTAAAAGCTCCAAAACAGGGAGAGGCTGGTTTTACTGAGGGCAAAAAGATCACTAAACCTCTTGCGATCAATCTTGGGCCAAAAAGGCTTTTGCGCTYACCAAGCTCCCGCGAAAATCAGCATCAGTCTGGAAAATACTGCAATAGTTAGAATGTCTGAAATTGGATAGAGAGCACCTTATAGTAGACTCCTCCACCAATYTTCTCCCCAAGCTTTGACCCATTCATGAAGAAGTTCACTGTCCCTCTCCTAAAATGGCTTCTTCTTACCCACAACTCCCTCGCTGGTATATGGGTAGGAAGGAGCCGCGARAGTTCGGTTTGGCGACTAGATGATTCAAGTGATCCCGTATGAAGTCAAAGTGTGTGAGGATATACAACTTTTCAGACACGTGTTCTCTTTGGAACCCAGACTCTCTGAGTGTGATGGCAACTTTCGCAGCCATAGACCTTCCGACGATGTCCTCGGACAATATGTGCAGGATAGCATGAAGTGCCATGGTTTAAGTGGACCTCAGTGCGCTACACATGTCAATAAGTGCAACCATTAAAAGCTCTGGAGTGCATGTGTGGTCTTTTCTAGAGCCCTCCACCATTCGAGACTCCACCGTTTGCATGCCTTTTTTGCTTTCTCTCTCTTTTCGATATTCGGCTTTCATGAAAATATCTTATCCAAAATGAGCCCTAGATATTTCACTATATCCACAAGTTGCAGACGAATGTCACCCATTTGCGGCAGCGATGCCACCGGGATCTTGTTTCTACTAGTGAATAAAAACGACTCGGTTTTATATGGATTGATGGCGGGACCATTTACGCTGCTCAATTTGTTGCGACGGTACTCAAGATCTCTCTTTTGATCATTACCACTATATCTTCTGCATAGGCAATCACGCTGCAAATCAAATTTTTTAAGCTGGTCGTTAACGACCAGGATCCATAGAAGAGGAGGAAGACCTCCAACTTGTGGAGTTCCCCTACTTAAGCCCTTAAGTTTTTCTTAAAGCCGAGTGTAGCTAATATTTCGCACCAATTGCGTAAATATTAGGTATGCAATCTGCGAGTGCTTAAAAAACATAAAAAAGTAAACAAACTTGAGTTATGCTAATGCAAAAACCGCATTCGTTGAAGACACAGCGCTACCCTTTGGTCTGGTGAACTAATTATCTATGCAACTGCAAGCGCTAAGCTCTCAATGCCACTAAATAGCTGCTAGAAATTTTCAAATTATTTCGCAGTATAAATGCGTGTATTGTCAGTAAAGAAGACGTACTCACAATTCAGTTCACTAAGCTTACAAAGCAAGCSACTGCCGAAAAATAATCCTATTCAAACTTAAAATGGTCAAATTCGTAAGTTCMAAATATATCCAACATATACCGAGTGTGAGCATAAGCATTGTTTTCTTCTTTACTTTACAGCTGATTGTTCTGTGCTCATTCATTGCTTGTGCTGTCGCCAAGCCAGGTCTCATCGCGCCACTTGCTGCTCCATTGGCCGCAGYACCGCTTGCTACCGCCGCCATAAATGCCCCATTGGATGCTGCTTATGCCAGCAGTCGTCTTGATATTCAGCAGAGATATGGTGCCGCTCTATTTGCTGCAGCACCCGCCAAACTTGTCGCCTCAGCACCAGTTGCCGCTCCATTGGCTGCTTCCCCCGCTAAAATTGTGGCTTCGGCTCCATTAGCT